GAAGTTGCATTTCTTTGCCGATTTGGATGTCTTCTAGGTTTGATTTTTTCTCCTCATTACAGGTGCCTCTGTGCTGTGAGTAAAGTGGCAGGAAAAGGTGCTGCTATAGTGGAGAATCTTATTCAGCTGTTCTTCAAACGTTTGGATGCTCAGGCAGTAGATAACAAGCAGGTTGTTAACTTGAATTATGTGTAAATGGGTTATATATGTAGTTACTTAAATTGCATTGGCACAATATTCGTTGCTGGGATAAATGTTAAATATCTAGATATTTATATGCCCGCCAGGATGAGTTGATTTTGATTTGGTGAAGTTATTAAGCTCCTAAGATTCTAGTTGTCTAATCCCTTGGAGTATATTATTAGTATTGTGCAGTTCTGGCCCCATGCTTGAAAATGTCTAACATACGTTTGCTCGCTTTTAAGTAGTACATGTATTAGAGATTTTATAGATGGGGTTTTCTTCTGGTTTATACCCTGAAGTCTGACCCTATTGTTGATTTGGTCCCTAAACTTCTAATTTGAGCAACATTCTCCGTGTTCCATTACGGGATGGAAGAGATGCCTTTATTACATAGATTCTCTTATTACTAACGAATTGGTGGGCCCACTTGCCTATGAGTTACACTTGTGTGCCCAATATTTCAAGCACTACATAGATCTCATGATATGTGAATTTACCATTTTGTGCATAACTATGCATTTGTATTATTACTCAATAGAAATTCAGAATGAACCACAAAGGTGAACTTGCCAATTATACTGCTCATGTGGTGTTCAATCGAGGATGTTCGGAAACCTTATGCACACTATACATGTCATAGATGCCATAAATTAAGGTTTACTAATTAAATAAGTGACATCCTTGTAGTTCTGGGGGTGCATCGTTCTAACAAGAAGTTAAGGAGCAAAACTGAGACTAGGGTGAAAGTTCAGGCCCTCCTTTCAGTACCGGGTAGCTACAGTGTTGAATACTCAAGAATGCAGTTATATGTAGGACTTTGTAGTTTTGGGTTGCAAAGTAAGCTTAGTGGTGTATTTTACTTGCATGAGGCACTATCTTGTCAGGTTTTATGTATCCTTTGGTTGTTGAGTTAAACAAAGTTTTGCAAGGAAAGCCCAGTTGTTAACAAGTATTTTTGATAGGGGAGGTTTTATGTCATTGTCTTATTTTGAGCTCTCTGCATAGCCCTTTGCATCTTGGCTTTTAGTTCCTTGTGCTTCAAGGTTGATGATCCATATTTAATACGCTCTTGATGTGTATTGCTTCTTTTCAAGAACAATTCTAATGTTTAGCTCTAATCTCAAACCAATAACTGGTTGGTACACAGTTGATAGTTCAGACATTCAAACATACCTGTACATAAATTACATGTATGTAATTAGGAATTAAATTTTAACAATTTTATATTTTTGCTAATTTCAGCAAGTGGGGCGGTCTCTTTTCTGTCTTGGATTGCTTATCCGTTATGGCAACTGTTTGCCAAGTAACTCTGACAAAACAAGTGATGTTGTAAGCAGTCTCAGCTTGTTTAAAAAATATCTTCTAGTGGAAGATTTTGTCATAAAGGTTCGGTCATTACAGGTAAGAACTTTTTAATCTTGAATTGTAAAGTTCCAGGTTTGATCTTGAAATGTAAAAAGCCTGATTTTACAATGAAATGTAGTAATGTTGCATTGTGACATTTGCAGGCATTGGGCTTTGTTCTAATAGCTCGGCCTGAATATATGTTGGAAAAAGATATCGGGAAAATATTAGAGGCAACATTCTCTTCTAGCTCTGATGTTCGTCTTAAGGTAATAATGTCCCTTGATTTTTACTACAATGTTTATCTGTTCACTGATTTTTTTTTTTGGGGGACCAGATGCAAGCATTGCAAAACATATATGAATATCTCCTTGATGCTGAAAGTCAAATGGGAACGGATGCAGCCAGTAATAATGTGATTCAATATTCTGTGGAAGGTGGCAATGCTGTATCTGTTGCTGCAGGTGCTGGGGATACTAATATCTGTGGTGGAATAGTTCAGTTGTATTGGGATAATATGTTAGCGAGATGTTTGGACCTTAATGAACAAGTTCGCCAATCTGCACTTAAGGTGAGCATAGGGCTTCCATGTTATGTTCCTGGCTAGTGTTTGTGATTTTCTCCTTCTAATAGTGTTATAAATCTGGAGCTTGAACCAGAGTCTTGTTGACAGCTAACTCCTGAGATTATGTGGAGGAAAGGATATTATGTATTTGAGAATTTGATTTTTATTTATTTATGTATTTCTACTGATTTCCGGTAAACTAGTTAGGAAAAATTGGTTCAAGTAGCATGGTCCCAATGTTACATCGAAGTTTTGTTAATTTATCTATACTATTTACCAATATAAATGCAGATTGTTGAAGTTGTGCTGCGGCAAGGCCTTGTGCATCCTATTACTTGTGTTCCATACCTTATTGCACTCGAAACAGATCCTCTGGAGGGCAATTCGAAATTAGCTCATCATTTGCTGATGAATATGAATGAAAAGTATTCTCCTCTCGATGCTTTTTGACTTCTTGTAATCACCTATATTTGCTTGTGCTTTCTAATTGAAGGATCTTTTTAGGTACCCAGCATTTTTTGAAAGCCGCCTGGGGGATGGCCTTCAAATGTCGTTCACTTTCATACAGTCCATTACTACCAGTTCTGAACAGGAGAACAAAAAAGTTCCAACAAAGGCTTTGGGAAATGCAAAGGGAAAATGTGATAGTATTTCTCTTGCTCAAGCAAGAGTAGGGGTTTCTCGAATCTATAAGCTTATTCGTGCTAACCGGGCTTCGAGGAACAAATTTATGTCTTCGATTGTTCGCAAGTTTGATAATACTTGCTGGACAACTTCAGTCGTCCCGTTCCTAATGTGAGTTCAATTATTGTCGGCCAGTCTTGAAGTTCATATAAGCTGACTGAGGATGCTGACTTGAAAGTTGATTTCTTTATACAGGTACTGCACAGAAATACTTGCGTTGCTACCGTTCACAACACCTGATGAGCCGCTTTATTTGGTCTTTTCTATAAATAGAGTAATACAAGTTAGGGCTGGAGCGCTTGAAGCAAAACTGAAAGCTCTAACCTTGCATCTGTTACAAAGAGGTGCGCCTCATGGGAATGGCATAATTGAAGAGGACCCAGCTGCTCAGCCTTTTCAAAGAGGGACGACATTAGTGGATTTGAATGGGACAATTCAACAAGAACCAGTGTTTCAACCCGTTACAAATTATATGCTAACAATGCAGTGGAATGGGGTAATACAACGAGAGCCAGCTGATCAGTCTGTCTCAAATCAAACTACCCCTTTGGGGGCAAACATGCACGTTACGGGATCTGGCAGTTCCCATGGCTTCTCAAAAGATGATGAACAGAAGATCCAGGTATTTCAAACCTCTTGTAGTCCTGTACTGACTTTATTTTCCACAAGCCCGAAAAAAAAAATCTCGGGGGAGAGACTGTGATTGGCATGGTTAGGGTTTGCTGCTCAGTTAATCTTTCATTGATTGTAATTTCTTGCAAATATTGTTTGACGTGCTTTTGCAGGCGGACTGCCTGGCAGCTATTGCATTGCAGCTTCTTTTGAAACTAAAGAGACACCTAAAGATTGTGTATAGCCTGAATGATGCAAGGTGCCAGGTAAGCAATCACTAGATAACTCTAGGTAGATTGTATTACAGTGATTTATGGACCTTTTTTTTTTTTAAAACTGTAATTTTCTTTCAAACCAGGCCTTTTCTCCAGCTGATCCCCTTAAACCGGGAGATGTTCTCTCCAGGCAGAACATTCCTTTTGACCTCAGTGAAACACACACCACCTTGCCTACAACACATCAAGAATTGGTAAAAAGATATCAGGTACTTGAGCTGTGACATTATGCATATATATATGCATATCTCTCTCTCTCTCTCTCTCTCTCCCCTATATGTCACTGGAAGTTGGCCTTCAAGCCCATACATCATTTCTGACTGGTATCATCATTTTACAGGAATTCAAGAATGCGTTGAGGGAAGATACTGTTGATTACTCTACTTACACAGCCAACATCAAGAGAAAACGTCCGGCCCCCAGAAAAGGACGGAAATCTGTAGGTGGAGATGATGACGGTGATGATGATGATGAAGATTGGACAGGTGGGGCTCGGAGGCTGAGTAATAGTGGGAGGAGAGGTAACTACAGTAGAAGTCGACAGCGGTTATAGTAGTCAAGTATATGACAGGGTAGGCTAACTTGTACATGTTTTAGGAGAAAGGAATAGATATAGGGATATAATGAGAGCAGAAAGAATAGATTTATGGAAACGGTAGAGAAATCCAGTAGAGTAGAGCTTTCTCTTACCTTTTCCATCTTTTGTAATTTGCCTGGAGATGTAGTAACCGCATTCTTTTTGTGAATGTAATTCAGCTGTTTTATGTATTAATTTTTCATTTATTAATGTTTTGTTTGAGCCTCTTTTTTGCAGTTTAATCATAATGTAGCCGAACCTTCTGGGCCGTAATGTAGCAAATTTAAGGGGAAAATTTCCCTTCCAATTGACTCTTTCTCTGGTGACATCAGACAGAAACCTCATCATTGTTTCTCATCCTTGGTCAACTTTTTGTTTATGGTTTTAGACGCGGCGTTGTTATCTATGTAAGAGGGACCAATTTTGTATCTGCACCAAACTACCTAGCAAAATTGAAATAAATTGGATGTGCTCTTGCATTTAGATTTGACACATTTTCAATCAGAAACCAATTTAAAACAAGCTGCCAAGATTTAAACTAATGGCATCTTATTTTGATTTAATTCACTTCATTTTTGTAGAGTATTTTGGTTGTTCTTGAAATTGTAGCGACTATTTTGCGAACAATAAAAATAGAAGCTGAATGTACACAATAAATTGAGTTTTAATATAACAAAATATGGGACTTGTTTATAGGAAAGTTTCATGGCAAACTTTCTAATTACTTTCTTAAAGAGGATTAACATAACGTTTCAAGATAGCTCATTGCCTGTCATCTTTGAGAACCATGCAATGTCCTAAAACTCTAAAAATGTGAATAGCGAGGGTTTTCCAGAATCGAAACAAACATTATTAAAATTTAAGTTACAAGGGAACATAAATAGTATCAAAAAGTGTCCTTCGAGAATAAAACATCTTCAAAGAGTGTCTATCACCAAAATCCTTCAAAAAATTCTTCCCCAAGTTGCTCATGGTACGATGACAAAAAGAGGCTGCATGGAGGAGGCCAAATCACTTAGATAAAGATCATGAGCGAGTAGTGAGTTTGTGTCTGCGTGTATGTATATGTGAAAGAGGGAGAGTTTACTTACCGTGTCTACACTCACTGGTTTTGCATCTTCTGCCAGTATCTCAGTTACTGTCCCAGATTGATCAGCCTAAAGAGAAAGAGAGGGACAAATAATTGAGAGTACAGCAACATACATTTCAAATGAAAGAAAAGCCAAAATAATTTCAATGCAAAAACATACCTCAATTTCATTCATCAACTTCATGGCTTCAATGATGCAAATGACTTGACCTTTCTGAACTTTATCCCCTACCTGAACATTCAGAACTCCTAATATAAGTAATGATATGTATGATGAGGAAAATTGTGAATGGTCTTCTGCCATCTCTCTCAGAATTCAAGCTTTAAAAGATAAGTAACACAGACACTTGCCTTAACAAAAGATGGTTCACCAGGTGCAGGACTACGGTAAAAGGTTCCAGCCATGGGACATTTCAGTGGAGGGTGAGAAGATGTGCTAGCCTTTGCAGGGGCGGGTAATGCAGGTGCTGCTGCTGCTGGAGGGCTTGCTGGAGCAGGAGCTGTTGCTGGGGCTGCCGCTTGTTGAGGTGGTAGCATGGCATAAGGATAATGTGCTGGTAGTGGAGCCATAGGAGCTTGTGGTGCTGGCTTCTCCAAGGCTTCTTTCTTTCTTATCACTAGCTCTAAATCTAGTTGCTTCATTTGGAGCTCCACAATATCTCTTGAATCCACTAACCTGCTCATGAAAATGACCTCATTTTAATTAATAAAAAAAATGTACGTCTGACACACAGTTGCTCATATAAATTACGAAAGAAAACCGCTGCAACTTACTTAACCAGGTCTGATACTTGAGCCATGAATGCTGATATTGATGATGCATCTGGAATATTGCTGGAACGCTTTTCAGTAGACTCATCTTTCCCTTCCAGTGATCCATCTTCAGACTTGGTGTTATTTATGGGTGCAGAATTCGACGATTTCTCAGTTACCTTGATTTAGAAAGAAATTTATTATGCATTGATGACAATGTTCTCCAATCAAATTCATGTACTACACTTATTGCAAACAGGTTACCTCACTAAGCTGTGCCTGCACCTTCCAGGCAGCAGATTGCTTCCTGATGGGGCTCTACACAAGTCAACCATATGATCAGAAAAAAGGAAAAAGGAATAGCAGCAACATTTCACTGTACATAGAACTGTCGCTGCAACAAAAAGCTATAGATAAATGACAGTACAGTATATGACTATGGTGATCATTAATCGGTCGTAACTTGCAGGTGTACATGAAAGACATCATTTTGACTAGAATCCTTTCTGGGTTACAACTCAATCAAAATCCTACATGTGATGCAGCTATCAATTCTTCAACTACATCAATTTCAATGCATACCCACCAACTGTCAGCTTCTTATATATTATATGTGTTACACATGATGCATATATAACCATATACATATGAAACCCATTTCGAACATAAGAGAAATCCATAATTAACGGCTGAACAGGACAGGATATGGCAAGTAACAAGGGTAAGAGAAAAGAAGCAAAATTTAACAAGGAAGACTCGTAAAATGAAAAAATTTACATTCACAAAGTGGAGTAAAGTAGGTGGTCTGTCGAATTAACCAAACCTGAAGCCCAGAAATCTGCAGAGAGGGAATGGGACAGCGATTGAGACACTTGTGAAAGGAAAGCAGGTGCTGCTGCGGGTGCGAAGTTTGGGCAGTAGAGCCAAGGCGAGCCATGGGGGCAGAGCATGCTTTGGGGCACGGGACTGTGAAGGAAGCCATTGGAGTGTTCGTTATGTGAAGCAAAGCAAAGAAAAGCTAGCAAGCTTGTTTGCCACAGAGACGGAAGAATTGGAAATGGGGGAAGGCAAAAGGTGTGAAATTTTTGGGAATGGGATCTGAAGGCGAATGGGGTTAGATTTGTAGGGGTGGGGAAAGTGGGCGATGAGATCCAAGAGGTGTTGGTCTGAGAAATCTGAGAAACCCCAAAGGTTATGTGGGTTTTTAGAAAGCGTTTGCTTGTCTTCCGATACTTCCAATGCGAGAGAGAATTAGCGAGCGAGCGAGACTAATAATTTAAATACCCACCCTCTTAACTAACCGCTAACAAATCACGCGCTCTCTCTCTCTCTCTCTCTCTCTCTCTCTCTCTCATTCATTGGGGACATTGTGTTGGTTTCCCTCCAACTCCAACTGCAACGACTGAAATGAAGTGAGCTCCTTGCATTTTTCATTTTTACTGTTATCAAATTATCACCATCAATTTTTTATCACTGCAAATATGCATTTCTCTTTGGTGCTCATTTAATACTTGTTGGTATGTTGATCAAGCTTATGTAGAGTACAATTGGCCGGATCCAATCATCACCAGACAAAAGCTTTGAGCTTGTTCGATTGTAATTACCGACGGCTCAGCCAAGGGATGGAGGGATTTTGAACTTACAGGCCTCACGAGTTTTGTACGCGCCTGGAACTTCCCAAATGTCCCAATAACTATTTTCATTCTTGATCGGTAAATTATGAATTTGGTAAAAATAATTTTCGACCATCAAGCAAATAAAAAGCCAGCTCATTCGCTTCATTCCAACAAAGTAGCAGTTGAGCTACCAATCAATTCCACCATTTAATTGTAGCCAAAAATATTGGTGCCAAAGGACTAGAAAATACATGTAGGTCACCAAATATATTGAGTTCATCGACAAGTAACTTGCAGCGCTCAGTAATACAAACACATTTGGAAAATTTTATGTCGCAGTTACCATTCACAGACGCAGCAATGCTTATTTTATGACAAATGCAAAGTTACAAAAAGAGAGCCTAACATATTTTGGGGGGAAAAAATTACAGCAGCCTTAAAAGCTCTCTCCAAGACCAATAATTAAATTGCATCATAGCAACAAAATATTCCAAGACCATATAGATCATGAAAGGCAATTATGAAATAATCAAGGCAAAGCGAAACTAATATCTGTTCCAGTAGGTCCGGCGTCTGAACCAGTTGTAGTCGGGCAACTCCCCGACAGGACCCATGGAAGCAATTGCAATATCCTGCAGAGACCAACCAACAAAAGAAAGTATGAGTGTTCAGTTTTTGATTGACAAAGGTTGGGAGAATACAGAATAATGTATTAGCACTTAAGACGTGTCATAATAGATTGTAGTCCTACCCTGTCATAGATAAATCGGTTTGCAACACGTTTGATGGTGCTTGCATTAACAGCATCAATTCTAGCAAACAATTCGGCTAATGGGATTCTTCGACCGTATGTAAGTAGCTGCAAAACAATAAATAACAATTCAGAATATGCAACGGAGACCGGGTCAGCTTCCGGTAAAACACATTATTTCTTGTGAAGTCTACTAAACTGTCAATAGAACTAGTCAACAACGATCAACACCAGTTTTCATGTTTTCAATTAAGGCACAAAAACATTAGTCAGAACAGTTCATCCAGCACCTAGTGAACCGGTTAACATATACCATATTATTCCAGGTAATGATCTGCTATGACATAGTCTTAATTAATAATGCCTCTATACTCATTTAGGGAATCAACCCGGATCTCAGGTGGGCAGATAATATTAGCCAACTCCAATTGTTCAAACCTGATTGCTCTCATCATTTTTCTATATCGGAAGGAAAAAGTGTACCTGGCGCCCAATATCTTCAGCTACAGCACTTGTTCCATCCAAGTGAAGGAGCAGGGAAGATTTCAACTGCCAGAAAAGGAACAAACTTAAGTGGCAATGGATATTATAGCGATAACATGAAACAGCTAAATTGAAACATGACAGTTTCATCATTTTTATACTGGATACAGACAAAAATATACAAATACAAACATACAAAGCATTAGAAAGGATGAATCTAGTATTGGGGCAGAGTTAGAAATCTAGTGCTACCTGATTACGAGCACGGATCACGTCAGCTTCTGAAACTCGATAAACTAATTTGGTTATTTCATACATTATTGAGTAGGCCAAATCATCTAAGCAATCCGGCTGAAATAAAAAGAAAACACAATATAAGTCATAAAAGTATATTAATGACTGGTTGTTAATGTATAATCAGACACACATTGGTGTTTATCGGCATCCAAATAGAGCAAAGATACTACACACCAGAATAAGAAGTCAAAAAGGTTTTTTTTATAATGAAATAAATTATCTGAACAAGGAAAGTTATTACAGATGGCACCCTCACCTTAGCAGTAGCAAAAACACCAAATAAGCCAGTATCCTTATAGTTGGTGTTGAAAGCCATATAGCTGTCTGCTATGTCATTTATGGCAACCCGTTGTGCTAGCTCTGAACTGTTTTACAGGTAGCCAAAACTAATCATTGCATGTTCTTCCAAGACATAAACACATAAAGGTTGACATCAAGTATTCAATCCATAGAAGTTAAAATCATGTAAGTGCTCACCCCATGTGCTTTCCACCACCAGCATTTTTATTCCACGAACCTAACATAGCCTGCATGACCATTAGGGGAATAGAGTCTGGATCTGTCCAAGATGCTCCATTGAATGCAACCGCAAAATGTGCCAAAGGCAAGTCACTATCAAACATTCTGACCTGATTTTCACAACATTAATAGAAATGCATATTGTAAGAGAAAGCAAAAACATTTTAACAGAAGAGAAAAGTAATTTTCCAGGATATATGTATTACCTCAGAACCGGTAAAAAAGGAAGGTTCTTTTGCAACCAACTGACTAGCCGTGGTTGGATCTCCTGACAATTTTGTAAACAAACCTTTAACTGTCTCAACAATATCTTCATGCCTAACAGCTCCTGAAGCAGCAATAACCTATAATAGAGATCACAAACAAATAAGCCACAGGATAATCACTTCTAAAACCAAATTCCTGATTATCTATGTGTCATGTAGAGTAATAACAAAGAACGATGACTACACCAGGTGCATGATCTACTACATAAAAGGACAACAACTTAAAAAAAATTATCATAATTTGAATTACCATTCTGGGTGCGGTATAGTGAGTTTTGATATAGCTTTGAAGATGTTCTTTGGAGATAGTCTTAATATTGTTAGCAGGTCCAAGAATAGTTCTGGCTAGAGGAGAGTACTGGAATGCAGTTGCATGCAGATGGTCAAAAATAACTTCATCGGGTTGTTTCTCGACCTGCAGCACCAAAGGAATGATATTAAAACATGCACTTGAAAACAGTATGGACCAAATAATCCATAAACAGCATCATGTTTATAGGCGTGTACCGAATCACGCATATACCAGGAACCTATAAACACCCCTAAATACACAATTGACCACAAAATAGTAGGTTCCCAGATTTCATGTTAATACAAAGTTACTATCAACATTAGTTAACACTCAAAACATTCAAATCCACAGACACCATAAATTAAAATCACTTATCCCCATTAATCCAGAAAACCCAAGACCCCAACTTTCCAAAGTTTTCGTTTTTAAGACGTTACCTCCTCCATTTCCCTCAAAATCACCTCGCGCTCGCGAAGAATCCGGTTATCATCAAACTTGGAGTTCTGCAAGATATCAGCCAAAATAGAGAGCGCCTTGGGCACATCCGACTGCAGCACCTTGGCATAGTAGGTGGTCTGCTCCCTCGATGTGTACGCATTCAAGTGACCTCCCATGTTCTCGACTTCCTCCTCGAGCTGACGCGCTGTCCTCTGGTCGGTCCCTTTGAAGATCATGTGCTCCAAGAAATGCGCGGTGCCGTTGGTAGCGTCATTCTCGAACCGCGACCCAGCATCGATCCAGACCCCGACGGTTGCCGTCTGGGCCGCGAGGTTCGACTCGGTGGCGACTCGCAGGCCGTTGGGGAGTGTGGTGACACGTGTCTCGGGTGCGGTGAGGATGTGGGTATGGTCCGCGATACTCGGGTGGGGCGACCCGTACTTGAGGAACCTCGGGTCCGGATTCTCGAGCCTCCTGATCTTCAATTTGACGTCCTCGGCCAAGCGGTCGTAGATCATAGCGGATGGTGGAGGAGGCGAGGGTAAGGATGGGGCCAAAGGTGACTCAGCGACGGCGGGTGAGGTTGATGAGGATCGTACGGCTACGGTGAGAGCGGCCGGGGGTCTGTGCGGCCGACGGCGAGCTATGGTTGTTAGGAGGTGCTTAATCGCCATGGCTTTCTCTGCGAGAGCCTCTAGGGTTTGGGTTTGGGGGAAACTAGAGATGGCGAAATTGCGAACTACAATTGCAGGATGCCACTGCTCAAGTAGGAAGCCAAACCACATGAGAACGACGTCGGGTCGTTTGTTGTCCACCTGGACTCAGAAAAATTTAATTGGGTATTGAATAAAACAGATTGGGCCCAAACTTTCAGTATAAAAGCCCATTAATTCCGGTCAAACTCAGCTATTGGACCCTAATAGTGAGGCCCAAATTGATGCAACGAGAGAGCTATAAATAAATTGCGAAAGCGGAATGAGAAACCCTAGAGAGAAAAGAGAGAGAGAGAGAGAGCCATCTTCTTCGTCAGCCTCCTCAGTCATTGCTCTCTCTGATTTCGAGCTATGGCGACTGCAAAAACTGTGAAAGATGTGTCCCCACACGAGTTCGTTAAGGCCTACGCCGCTCATCTGAAGCGATCTGGCAAGGTATCTTTGCTTCCGAACCCCTTCTTTAGCTTCCGGGAAAATGAAACAGAAAACCTTGTTCTCTCGCCTTTGTTGCTTTGTTATCAATTTTTCTTATAAAAAAACAAAGAAAGCTCGAAACTTTACACGAGTTTCGGGAAATCGTAGATGATTTATAGTGAGTATGCTATGCCATGGCTAATACAATCTCACGCTTTTTTCTGAGGCATCTAATTTGCCTTGTTTCCCATATGTGTTTGATTCAATCTTGCCTTGTATATGGGTGTTGTGGATTTTACTGGTTTTGTTGGATATTTTTTACTGGACATTAATATGATTTGAGTGTTACAGCTATTTAAACTAATAAAAATTGAATAACGCATCATGTCTCTGTGAAGTAACAAGTCATTGTTGTAGATTATGCAGTGCTGGATGATTTTGTTGAATATTTGTTTAATAGCTGCTCTGATAAATTTGTGGACAATTGAAGAATTTTGTTTCACTTATGTTACTTTTGGGTTTTTCAGATTATTGAAATGATATAAGTTTATAGCTTTATGCCCCTTTTGCGCCATTTCCATTCCATCTTTTCTTATTTTATTTCCTTCCTATGGTTTTGAGCAGATTGAGCTTCCTCCTTGGACTGATATTGTCAAGACTGGAACATTCAAGGAGCTGGCTCCTTATGATCCTGACTGGTACTATGTTAGAGCTGGTGAGCATTCCCTCTCTTTTCATTATGCCCTCCTACTTATGGGTATATGTTACATCTTGTTTCTGCTATTGACAATGTAACATTCAATATGGCACAGCCTCCATTGCAAGGAAGATCTACTTGAGGGGAGGTCTTGGTGTTGGTGCCTTCCGTAGGATTTACGGTGGAAGCAAGAGGAATGGAAGCCGTCCACCACATTTCTGCGAGAGCAGTGGTGCTATTGCCCGACATATACTACAACAGTTGCAGAAAATGAACATCGTCGACCTTGACCCAAAGGGGTGAGTTCTGTGTTTATATCTCAACTCGAAACTGTTTCTGGACTTAAGTTTTGTTTAACAACATTGGCTTGAGTTGCGACATTGTTTCTGATTACATGTTGTCTCTGCTTGTGACAGTGGGAGGAGAATCACATCAAGCGGTCAACGGGATCTTGACCAAGTTGCTGGGCGGATTGTGGTCACCCCATGAACTATGGAGTTCTTAGAACTGCATGGGCACTAGCGTATCTGATATTTTAGGTTTCGATTTGAGTTAGTCAAAAGAGATGTGGCAAGAAGATGTTATGAGCGAAACGTGCTTTCTGTTTTGATAATTTTAGTTGTTATGACAATCTTTCTTTCTTCCGAAACTTTCATCTATGTGTTATGATATTTTGTCATGTTTTGGCCTGAGGATTTCAACCTATTTGTCTATTAGTTTCCTTATTTGTATTGCGGTTCCATGTGATGTTTTAATCGCAGACCAATTGATAAGAATGAGTGCACTCCGATCTCATTTTGCCCTGTCTTGTATTCTTTGGTTTAATTATTTTGTGGTGTTAAATCAAATTTATAGTCATTTGCAAGATTATAGTTGGAGTATATAAACAAAAGAAAAATCAAGAAAATGTACAAACTTCGTGTTTTCTAGTATGGCTTGAGGTGGCAAACGTCATGGTGAAGTTGTGTTTTTCCAACACACACTAGCAGCAGTGCCTTGTATTTTTCAAGGCTGCATGCTTTGCTATTCGATTCTTTCTTAGTTAGCCTTTTCATTTTATGTCTTTGATGTTTAAGAATACCAATGTAGTTAGTTTCTTAATGCAAATTCTGTTGCCTTTAGTCTTTACATGTGCCTTCTATTTTTCCATGCTATAAGCTGCTGCATTCGGTAAAGATATTGCTGAGCATTTATTTATACAGAATTGTATTCTTAGGCTAACTTCTTACTTTGCTGGATAACACAATCTGGAAACTCTTCGACTCGAATCTTGAAGTGTTTTAACTGTGAGAACATACTGTATCTGTATCTTAAGATTTTTTCCACTAAGCTCACTGTTTTTTAATATCTAGTTGAAGATCGATCTTTCCCATTATATTTCCAAATTCGGTCTGGATACCTTTATTCACAATGCGCCGACCAATTCCTCTCAGCTTGACAAATCTTATACTGCAAATGTTTTTTTTTCCTTCTGAAAATGCAGGCTAAATGTTTGTCTTTAATTACTCCTGTATAGATTAAGATCATATTAGTTACAATTGTTCAGATGATAATATAGGGTTTGGTATTTATACCTCCCACTAAAAAAATCCCACAAGAAAAATCTCATGGGTTAGGGTGTGATTTGAGCTTTGGGTGTTATGTCATGTTATAAATGAGCTTTGGGTGTGTTTCTAAAGTCCATTTCATATAAGGGTTTTTAATAATTTGGGCTCCTATATTGGGTATAATAGTTAATCTCCCTTTATTTTAACAGTTGCTTTGATTTTGTTGTGATTTTCGGTTTAAGAGGTATGCCACTTAGCAATAAGCATTCTTAGCATAGGGTTGTGCTCATTATACCTCATTGGATGATACCAGAGGATATATCAGTTGAACAATTACACTATACTAAGAACGCCGTAACCTTTCAAAGAATCAAATTAATGGGATTAAAAAAAATTGCAACTAAACTAGTTGCTTCATTCATATTCATATACAAGATTAAAAAGAATATCAGAAGCAAGTTGGAAATAGAAAGGGCATGATTATTAGGTATTAATATGACAGGGGCTAAGGAGAAACAAAATCAGGTTCTTTCTTGTCTTCTTCAAGCTTCACTCTTGGTAAGTGTAGGAGCCGATATCGTTCCATGACAAGCAGGACTTGATTTTCTTTTGCTGAGGCACATGAAACTTTGGTTCTTTGGGTATAGTGGGATGCTTCATTGACCTTACAACAAAGAAACATGAAAATATAAGAAACCGTACATCTACTATAATACAAAGGATATCAGAATCTGACTCGCTCAAAAAATCAAAATGCACAAACTTGAGAAAAAAAAAATTGATGGGATGCAGCTCATATTTGGGACAAGTAGTATGTTCTTGGAGGAATTGACAACATATATGGACTCGGTCTTCGTCTTTCTTTAAGGTTTCATACAGAAAGTTAAAGAAGACAGATCAAACATTGGATATAAATTCTGCATGAACACCGTATAACTTATACGAAATTTATTGACCCACTTTGTAAGGATGGAATTCCAAAATTATCTGCACTCTCTTTTTCTGCATGTTGAGAAAGTTCAATAATATCATCAGCATTCCAATCCAAGCAACTATAATCTATTATTACTAAAAAGAAAAACAAACCAAAAGGAAAACCATTTTCTTGTAAGATGTTATTTGCAGAGAAGACACACAAAATAATAAGTAGATTCTGAAGTCACTAAAGAATTTGGAATGCACCCATGTCATTCAAAAATAATTTTCCAATCATGCAACGGTTACAGTAGAGTTCCATATAGTTCTTCTAGACATAAAAGAAGCTTTAAGAGAAAGGGTCTATGTATAATCGATTTACAATCAGATCAAAGTTTTACCTTCTGGGAATGAAAGGCCTGTCAAAGTAGGGCATCGGCTGTGCTTTTGGAACAAGCTCCTTTCTCAACCTTCTTATTTCCTCCTCTTCTGCCAACTGTAAGAGCAAAATACCAAAATGCATATTTCAGGTGAAAAATAACTATGATGATATAAAGCTGATCAAGTGAAATTATTCTTTACGTTACAACAAATGGTTGGTTTACCTTCTGCAGTCTCTCTCTTTCCATCTTGTATTGCTCAAACAGGTTCATCTTCTCGGCCACCTGATGGTGCACCCACATTCCAAAAGAAAAATGGTAATTCAATTTTCAGTCTACTAAAGTATCATTAGTAAAAGGTAAGGAATAGAGACTAAAAACCTTCGCCCTTATCACATACATAAAAACCTTCGCCCTTATCACATACATAAGGTAAGTCATGCACCCATACAAGTCATTTCTTCCTTTAAAGTGACACTATAGGCACGAAGAAAGTACGTAACAAGGGTATTTTCATGAAGATGTCCTCACAGTTGTCTACAATAAATTATAAACCTTTTTTTTATCTCTCAGTTGTCATAAAGAATGTTCATGTTAAGATGCTGACGAAAAGGTTTCTTCTGAAAAATCTATAAATTTCACACCTTTTTTCTATCTCACAAGTGCTTGTCTAGAATGTTACATATTAGGATGATATCACAAAATTTATTCTGCAAAAGCTAGACAAGTTTGTTTCTTCTTTTGATTAGAAGTGTTCCCAGGTGCTCCAACCTGAAAAGACTTTTTCACACAGATCTCCTATATTCTTTTTCATATTTAGTTTAAATGCACAACTACGTAGAGAGTGATTAAAAATCTAGAGCCAAAGCGCATAATATTTAAACGCACTTATACATAAGGTAAGTCATGCACCCATACAAGTCATTTCTTCCTTTAAAGTGACACTATAGGCACGAAGAAAGTACGTAACAAGGGTAGTTTCATGAAGATGTCCTCACAGTTGTCTACAATAAATTATAAACCTTTTTTTTTATCTCTCAGTTGTCATAAAGAATGTTCATGTTAAGATGCTGACGAAAAGGTTTCTTCTGAAAAATCTATAAATTTCACACCTTTTTTCTATCTCACAAGTGCTTGTCTAGAATGTTACATATTAGGATGATATCACAAAATTTATTCTGCAAAAGCTAGACAAGTTTGTTTCTTCTTTTGATTAGAAGTGTTCCCAGGTGCTCCAACCTGAAAAGACTTTTTCACACAGATCTCCTATATTCTTTTTCATATTTAGTTTAAATGCACAACTACGTAGAGAGTGATTAAAAATCTAGAGCCAAAGCGCATAATATTTAAACGCACCTGATGGTCAAACTCAGCTCGCTCTACTGCCCGCATGTCACTGTAGAGCTTCAGATCAGTTGGTATTGTGATGTCTTTTACTGGAGGTTTCATTAAGCACTAAGATAAAAAAAAAACACCAAAGATATACATCTAAGTCAGTGGTTCAGTCTTGTCAATCTTGCAATATCAATAAAATCATTTAAATATAGTTGGAAAGTTAAGAAAACGCAATCGATGAACTTATATGTCCCCTTCATGTATTTTGGACCCTAATTTTGTATTTCTATCTCAACATCTATTATATGGTACATAAGAAAGAAAAATTGAAGTAATAATGGTTTAACCTCTGGTTCATCAGTTGTCCATGGGAGGCCCTGAGCAATTGGTATCCGCTGCCTCTCCTCCTCTATCATCATCTCTTGTATCTTCTTCATGAACTCTTCCTCTTTTTGTCTTCCCCTTTCCTGCATTGAGATCACCAAACAAAGTTAGAAGCTATGGAACTGCAAGTAAACTTGATTACTTTTCAAGACATTCATTTTCAGTACATTTTACCTCTGTTCTTAGCTTGAATGGTTTAAGGCTAGTGGCTCTGAGCTGCTTTTTCTTCCATGTCCTTCCTCCCATTGTGCTAGATGATTCAGAGCTCTGAAACTCAAACAGGAATACAAGATTTTCAGTCTCCAAATAATGTCCAAAATAGTAAAACAGAAAAAAAAAAAATCTTACATTTCTTCGGCTCCTTCGCCCCCCATTGGAAGCCCTGCTTGAAACACTATAAATAGCAAAACAAAACCCAGTCAGAACAAAAAACAAACACTTTGCATGCATCAAAAGTAATGCTAATTTTAATCAAAAGTATTGTTGCCAACCTTCCCAAACTTCCATCCCAAGAAGACGAAACTGAAGGCCGCCGGTCCAAACCAAGATTCTCAGATGTCAAGAACAAATCGGACGGACAAAACGAAGAAGACGAAACCTGAGCTTCAGGCACCTTAGGAGGTTGCAATCCAGGTAAGGCCCACTTTTCTGCCTTCTTGCCATTATCTTCTGGTTCCTCCCCATCCTTCTGCTCATCCAAGTCCTTCGAGGGAATCGAAAGGAGTTTCTCAAAGGCCTGAACCAAGTGCATCACTTTCCCACGCTCAGGCACACTCTTCCTTGCCTCCTCCAACAACTTGTCCCTCCTTCTCTTGAAGGTCGAAGAACTCATTTCACCAGACGGGTCAATCTCACTCGGGTCAAAATCACCCGACCCGTTCATCGCAGAACCCTCCAACCCATCGTGAATCCTCAAACCCTTCTCAATCTCTTCCTCGAGTTCACGCTCAGCTCTATCACACTCCTTCAAACTTTCCGATTCATCGTTCCGGTTCTTGAAAAACTCTTCCTGCGACGCCCTCAGATTCTCATAGGCCACGCAGAGACACTTCTTGGAATTACCTTTCTCTTTGCATTTACAAGCAACATTCGGGTTCTCTTTCTTCGATTTCTTCTTTGCCACGATGAACTTCCTCTCCCGGATCTTGTTCCGGGGTGAATGAACAACCGGGTTCGGGTTCTTGGAGGCCGATTTCTGGGACTTGGTCGATTTCGTCGCAGGGGAAGCCGTGGGTTTTGGCCCAGGAGAAACATTGGGGTTTAAATTCTCGGCATATCTCGAGTTTCCATGCCTCTTGGATCGAGAACCATGTTGATCTTTCACAGGAGTGACCGCTCCAGCCTTCTTACCGACTAAGTCCATCAGAATGTGACCAGAAAAGAGAAAAGACTGGCCGGAGACGTAGGGAAGAAAAAAGGTCAGTGAATGTCTGGTGTTTTGGCACCGAATAAACAAATGAATGAGGGTTGAGAGAGAGAGAGAGATGAGAGGAGAGAAAAAGGGAACGTTAGAGCTGTCGACGCTCTCTGTGTAACGGCTAGTTTTTTGGGGGGCTTATCTGTGGATCGTTTGATAACACTTTTAAATTTCTGTCTGTTTTGAGCCGTTGGATTAAGTGAATGTGTTTTTTTTTTTGGTCGTTTGGATTAGGGGAGAGAGTGGTGAATGATTGGGTTTGATTACCAACCGTTGTAGCCGAATCGAGATAGTCCCAATTACGGAAATACCCTTTGCCTTACCTTCTTCGCCAGCATCCACGGTGGCGGCATGGTACAAGTGCAACTCCCCTCTTCAATTTTTGTTTTTTAATTTCTGACCTTTTTGGTTTTTATTTTATTTTTAGAAGAGGTTTTTTTCCCCTTAAAATAGGCAATAATTTTTTGAAAACATTGAAAAATACAATAAATTGTAACTTTTTTATTTTGTTGATCTAGGATGTTCATATTAGGATGCTAGCAATGGCGAAATTAGGATTTTACGTATTTGAGGAGAGGGTCAACATATAAATCAAATAATATATAAAAATAATTTCCAAATTTTCAATCTTAACAATATATGAAAACAAAAACAAAAACAAAAAAATTATTTATTCAATTAAGTATCAAAATAGCACACGTGATTCTTTCAAATATCGAACAATGAAACTTCAAATCACTTGTTCCTCCGATTCACTTATACCTTTTCTTTATTGTGGGGGCCATAAGTAAATTTTCATAGGCTTTTTTTCTTTCCCTAAGCATACATTCAAAGCCTAATATACATGTGTTTCCAAAACTTTGAGGGGGGTGAAGGCCACTGCTAGCCTTCAAATGCCTCCGCCCTAGCTAACGGCGTAAAGATTTATTCTACAAACAAGCCTATAAATTGTACACCTTTTTATTTATTTTTTGAATCTCGCAGGTGTTCATCTACAATATTACATGGTAGGATGCTGTTACAAAGTTTACCCTACAAAAGCTATCTATAACCATCAGCCCAAATCTCATTTTCAAGGTTTTGAAATCAGTAATTTTAGGACATTTTTATTGGATCTAAAATACAATAGATTACAGATTCATTAATTTAATTCAGTTGGATTAGAGATTATGTTCAACTTAATTGAAATAGTCCAAATCAACTCCAAACCGCCAATAGTATAACCGCGTGACTACACCTTTTTTGACACGCGGGTCCCTTTTAAAAATTAAAAAAAAACTAAATTGTATAGTCACACAGTTGTACATATAGGGATTTTTCAAAATGGTATTGCCGCCTTCAAAATTGTATAGCCGCGCGGCTATACTCCTTTTTTTTATAAATCGTGCAGCCGCGCGTCTTCACTATGGTATTTTTTATAATAAAAAATCGTATAGCCGAGCGGCTATCCTTATTTCGACTCGTAACCAACGGCTATACTCGTTTTTTTATAAATCGTGTAGCCGTGCGTTTTCACTATGGTATTTTTTATAATAAAAAACCCTATAGCCGAGCGGCTATACTTATTTCAACACGTAACCAACTAATTGCAAGGCGGGGTTCTCTCTCTCTCTCTCTCTCTCTCTCTCTCTCTCTCTCTCTCTCTCTCTCTCTCTCTCTCTCTCTCTCTCTCTCTCTCTCTCTCTCTCTCTCTCTCTCTCTCTCTCTCTCTCTCTCTCTCTCTCTCTCTCTCTCTCTCTCTCTCTCTCTCTCTCTCTCTCTCTCTCTCTCTCTCTCTCTCTCTCTCTCTCTCTCTCTCTCTCTCTCTCTCTCTCTCTCTCTCTCTCTCTCTCTCTCTCTCTCTCTCTCTCTCTCTCTCTCTCTCTCTCTCTCTCTCTCTCTCTCTCTCTCTCTCTCTCTCTCTCTCTCTCTCTCTCTCTCTCTCTCTCTCTCTCTCTCTCTCTCTCTCTCTCTCTCTCTCTCTCTCTCTCTCTCTCTCTCTCTCTCTCTCTCTCTCTCTCTCTCTCTCTCTCTCTCTCTCTCTCTCTCTCTCTCTCTCTCTCTCTCTCTCTCTCTCTCTCTCTCTCTCTCTCTCTCTCTCTCTCTCTCTCTCTCTCTCTCTCTCTCTCTCTCTCTCTCTCTCTCTCTCTCTCTCTCTCTCTCTCTCTCTCTCTCATAATAAGTAGTATAGACGATTGGCTCGACTCGGTTTTTTTATTTTTAAAATTGTATAGCCGCGCGGCTATACTTATTTTGATACTTTTTAAAAAATAAGTAGTATAGCCGCTCGGCACTACTTGGTTTTTAAAAAAAAATTGTATAGCCGCGCGGCTATACCTATTTTGACACGTTACCACAAATTCGCTAGGCGGGTTCTCTTTTCTTTTATAAAAATAGCGGCTATACTCAGCTTTTATTATTTTTTAAAAATCGTATAGCCGCGCGGCTATACTCCGTTTGTAATGTTTCTTAAAAAATTGTATAGCCGCGCGGCTATACCTATTTCGGCTATACCTATTTTAACACGTGGCCGCCTATTTGCTAGACGGTTTTCTGTTTTTTCTAAAAATAGTATAGCCGCTCGGCTATACTCGGGTTTTTGGATGTTCTGGAAAATAGTATAGAGAAAATCTTCTGCCAAAACCGCTCTTGCTATACAAGATACCGCACTTGATAATGACACTCTTGGTAGGTTGCTGAAAGAAGACAGTGCCAGCCGTGAGATTCTTAATGCTCATAACGATTTGGTCAAGAGCAATGATCTCAAAAATCTTCTGCCATATGGTTTTGCTATTCATCATGCTGGGATGAACAGGGCTGACCGGCAACTGGTTGAGGATCTCTTCGCTGTTGGGCATGTACAAGTTTTAGTTTCAACTGCAACTCTTGCTTGGGGTGTGAATCTTCCAGCTCACACAGTGATAATAAAAGGGTCCTAGATTTATGATCCAGAAAAGGGAGCATGGACTGAACTAAGTCCTCTTGATGTTATGCAGACGTTGGGTCGTGCAGGAAGACCTCAGTATGACTCTGATGGAGAAGGGATAATCATTACTGGCCACAACGAACTGCAATACTATCTTTCTTTGATGAACCAACAACTTCCTATTGAAAGTCAATTTGTGTCCAAATTGGCTGATCAACTGAATGCAGAAATCGTTCTTGGAACTGTTCAGAATGCTAGAGAAGCATCTAATTGGTTAACATACACTTACCTTTATGTTCGCATGTTGAAAGAACCTGCCCTGTATGGTTTGGAAGCTGACGTTCTCACAAGAGATAGTAAGTTGGAGGAGAGGCGAGCTGATTTAATCCATTCCGCTGCAACCATCTTGGACAAAAATGGCTTGATTAAGTATGAGAGAAAAAGTGGATACTTCCAGGTTACAGACTTGGGTCGGATTGCTAGTTATTATTATGTGACTCATGGAACAATATCGACATATAATGAGCTTTTGAAGCCAACAATGGGGCAGCTAGAGCTTTTTCGGTTGTTCTCCTTGAGTGATGAATTTAAATACGTTACTGTACGGCGGGATGAAAAGATGGAACTCGCTCAACTATTGGATTGTGTTCCGGTTCTGGTCAATGGAAAGTGTGGAAGAACCAAGTGCCAAGATTAATGTTTTGCTGCAAGCTTATATTTCACGTTTGAAGCTTGAAGGGCTTTCATTGACATCTAATATGGTTTTCATCACTCAGAATGCAGAAAAGGCCTTATGGGCTCAAGTAGCAGAAAAGGCATTGAACTTGTCTTGAAACGAGGATGGGCTCAAGTAGCAGAAAAGGCATTGAACTTGTGCAAAATGGTTGAAAGGAGGATGTGGGGTGTCCAAACACCACTTCGCCAGTTCAATGTGTTAACAGTGAAGTTGGAGAAGAAGGATTTGGATTGGGAGAGGTATTTTGACCTCTCTCCACAGCAGCTTGGGCAGCTTATTCGCATGCCGAAGATGGGAAGAACACTTCATAAGTTTATCCACCATTTCCCCAAATTAAACCTCGCAGCTCATGTCCAGCCGATCACTAGCACTGTACTGAAGATTGAGCTCAATATAACACCAGACTTTCAATGGGATGACAAATTTCATGGATATGTGGAGCCATTTTGGGTAATCTTGGAGGATAACGATGGTGAGTACATTCTTCATCATGAATATTTTCTGCTGAAGAAGCAGTATATTAATGAGGATCATACTTTGATCTTCACAGCTCCAATTTATGCACCACTTCCGCCTCAATACTTTATTCGAGTTGTGTCTGATAGGTGGCTTCGTTCAGAGACTGTTTTGCAGGTTTCTTTTAAGCACCTCATGTTACCTGAAAAGAATCCTCCTCCCACTGAGTTATTGGACTTGCAACCACTTCCTGTGGCCGCATTAAGGAATCCATTATACGAAGCTCTATTGATCATGATTTTAAGTGTTTTAATCCTATCCAGACTCAAGTCTTCACTGTTTTGTATAACTCAGATGACAACGTCTTAGTTGCTGCACCGACAGGGAGTGGGAAGACCTTATGTGCAGATATTGCTTTATTGAGGAACCATCAAAAGGGTACTCAATCTGATAGTCATGCCATGCGTGTTGTGTATATTGCACCTTCTGAAGCTCTTGCTAATGAACGTTATAGAGACTGGGAGAGGAAGTTTGGAAAGGGCCTCAAACTGTGCGTTGGGAAGTTAATCTGAATGCAGAAATTGTTAATGGAATTATTAGGAGCAAGCAAGACACGGTTGATCACCTTAAATGGACATTCTTGTACAGGAGGTTAACACAAAATCCTAACTATTATAATCTCCAGGGAGTTAGTCGGCATCTTTCTGAACACCTCTCAGAGCTTGTTGAAACGACACTGAGTGATTTGGAAGCAAGCCAGTGTGCTGCTATCGATGATGACATGAAACTTTCTCCTTTGGTTATTGGCTTGGTAGCATCATACTTTTACATCAGTTATTCTACAGTAGAGCTTTTCGAATCTTGTTTAATTCCCCAAACGAGGATGAAGGGTCTTGTGGAGATTCTGGCTCAAGCTTCAGAATATTCACAGCTTCCTATACGATCAGGGGAGGAAGAGGTGATCCGAAGGTTAATTAAACACCAGAGGTTTTCTTTGCAGAATCCCAAATGCACAGACCCTCATGTTAAAGCAAATGCTCTGCTTCAGGCCCACTTCTCCAGGCAACTTGTGGGGGAAAACCTTATATTGGACCAGCAAGAGGTGATCCTTTCTGTAAATAGGTTGGTTCTGGCAATGGTTGATATCATTTGCAACCATGGCTGGCTAAGCCTTGCTATCCTAGTGATGGAGTTAAGCCAGATGGTGACTCAAGGTGTGTGGCACAGTGACTCGGAGCTTCTACAGCTTCCTCACTTCACAAAGGAGTTGGCCAAGAGATGTCAAGAGAATCCCGGAAAGAGCGTGGAAAAGGTATTTGATTTGAAAGGCATGGAGGCTGATGAGAGGCGCAAGCTACTTGAGATGTCAGATACACAGATGGTGGATGTTGAACGATTTTGCAACCGGTTTCCCGAAATTGACATGGAATGTGAGGTTGTGGAATGTGGAAGTGCAAAAGCTGGGGAAGATGAAAGGATCACGCTGCAAGTCACTCTTGGACGTGAGCTTGATGGGGGGAGGACAGAGGTGGGCCCTGTTGATGTTCTGAGGTATCCCAAGACCAAAGAAGAGGGGTGGTGGCTTGTAGTTGGAGATACCAAGACTGACTCGGTGTTGGCCATCAAGCAAGTTTGCTTGCAAAACCAGGCAAATGCCAAGCTTGAATTTGATGCTCCTGTTGCTGCAGAAGCTGGAAAGAAGACGTGTACCCTTTATTTAATGTCTGATTCATACATGGGCTGTGATCAGGAAATCCAGGTTGATATTAATTAAAGCAATGGAGAAGCAGCTTGGGGAATATAGTAGTGGTAGAGAGTGAAAAGTTTTGTTCTTCAATTTATTTTGCTTCTGTTTTTTTTTTTTTTTTTTTTAATTTTTAATTCCCTCTGTTTCTACAGCTAGTGCCACCATGACTGTTATACATTTCCTAGTACCATGCAATACAAGGGCATTTATTTGGCATCATCATGTGTTAATTTTTTTTTAAAGTCAACAACACCTTTATAAAAGTTGTAGGCTTACAATATCGTCTATTGGAAGCCCTGCACCATACATTATGCTTTCAGTTCTGTTGAGCATGGTTGAACAGGATTGAAATCATAGTGCCTAAGACAATGTGTCGTTTCAAATAATCAGTTTGGGAGATGTGAATTTGCAATTAAAAGTTTTTTCATTAAGAAATTAATTGGATGATATTTCAGCACTCTTTATATAAAGTTTGATTTAATGCCAGAGGTGGAGCCAAAATGAGCTAATTAGTTTCGTATAATAAAAGGAAAATATATGCTAGAGTTTTCTACGTTTCTTACAAAGAAATAGGAGCTTGGAAACTAAATATTTCGGCCCATGGTGAAGACAAAACTGGCTTGGCAAGTAGCTCGTCATGCACATAAATATATTGCTCGCCAGAGTTCATCAATGAAGAAAAGGAAGAAGAAGATGATGAATGAGACAAGACAGAGTATTTTTTATGTCAACAGAGTTCGTGAGAGTACAAGAAATGATAGTATAATTACAAAGCTAAGCTTGCGATAACAAAAAAAAATATATGATTTAACACACACTTCCAACTTAATGGATTTCGTTTGATGTTTTTTACCAATTTGAAAATGGGGTTTGATTTTTTTAAAGCATACTGGTGGTGGATTTGGTTGTGTTAGACCATCTTGTACATTGCATGAGTCTTGTTTGTTGGTTTTGTTTCCTTATTCTGCTCCTCATTCATGGCCAAAAGAAATTGGAGAAACAAAGATTTGGCATGAATCTGACCCAACTTCTGCAAGTAGGCATGCTTAAAGCTTTCACGTATTGTTTCAAATATGGAGTTTATGAATATTCATAACATAGAACATAGTTCATGTGTGACTTTCATACATGCACTTGGAAAAGAATTGAAGAGTTAGAGCTTAGCAGATAAGAAGCAAGACCCAAAGATCAAACACCTTCAACAAATGAAAATGATCTCTTTTGTAGACATCTGGCTGTTTAATATTTATGATGATTATTAAGGGTGATTAATACAAACCTTACACAACTCCTTCCAGACTGACTTTGCTGCTGTACCCCAAAAAAATGGGAAGGAAAAACAGTATCTGGGAAAAATGACAAGTTCTTGTTTTTTGTGGCGGTTTTTTAGCTTTTACCAGCGTTTTTATTTTTTAGCTGCGGTTTTTCTACTTTTCGCGACGATTTTTAGGTCCCAAATATGCAAAACCGCTTTCGCTGCGGAAGAAACCGTCGCTAACCGCTGCTATAGGAACTTTTATGTACGACTCGGAAAACCGCCGATAAAAGTCGGAACAAATATGGAATCGCCCACTCTTGCCACAAATATGAGTTTTTTGTGCCTAAAAACTCTCCTTTTCAATCGCTCTTTATGTTTATTCACATATTACATGACAATTCTATTTGAAGTCTCGCCAATTATCCAAGTGCAGACCGACTATGACTTCAGAAAAATTATTTTTCACACCAACACCACTATAGAACTGTTTGGCTGAAGTAACAGATATTTGCTATTTCAGAAGTGTTAAAGAGTCTGGATTGCTCCCTAAAGGAAGCTGACGGTCCTTTGCAGTGCCAATAGTTGGAAAGTCACAACAAAGTACGAAAATGTCTCTTTCAATACCAAGATCCTCCACAACTGCCGCGTGTTTAGCTTTCCAGAACCCCAGAATTGATGACATGGTTGAACAGATGTCATCCCAACTCAAGCATAATTTGTCAATATTACGAGTCTGTTGACAGCGAGGCAAGGAGGGAAGATATATCAATCAGTTGATGAATCAAGGACTTATGTCAGGCTCTTCTTCAAACAATGCAGTCATTACATTTTCAAATACAATGGAAACCCAAGATGACAAATGATCGTTCACCCCAAGCTGTGAACTGCAGTATGGAGCGTGGCTCAACTTGGATCGTAGATATACAAACAAGCAAAGATAAAGGACAAGTCTGTGGTAAAATATCATCTGGCGAAGCACTAAAATCAAACTTGAAACCAGTAAAGCCCAGCAAGACAAATGTGTACTGTTGGACCACCAATTGTTCTGTGAGCAGAAAATATTAACTTTGCATGTGATGCTTTTTCCCCTTCAGACTATAAGTGAAATGTCACAAGAAGAATCTCAATATGAAAACCAGATGGAGCTAGAGTTAGCAACAACTGGTGGCTGATCATATCCTTCTGTAGACCACGACCACTTTCACAGAAAAGGTCTCCAAAATGGGCTTCGTCTTCATGGAAAACCACATTTTCCAATTCAGAGATGCAAGTAGCTTTTGTGCAACTAGAATATGACTTCTCCACTTTTGGCCTCAGTTTCACTCCTTCCAAATGAAGGAAAAAGATAAGATACATCAGATGATCAGATCATCCATCCATTGTTTTGAGGAAGGGAATATCATCTGCACTAGATGTTCAAATGCGTAGCTGTTCAAATGTTTTGAGGCATCATATTCAATATATGGATTTTCTTCGTGAGACTTCCAAGTAGCTTTATAATCCTCAAATTAAAGGATGGTCTCTTACAGAAGTTTGTCCCAACCATCTTCTCATCAAACATTATCTGGGAGCACAATGAGTTACTTACACAGCACGATCAAACGTTGACTGCACCCCACATGAGCAACTGCCCAGCCTGAGATAGAAAAACAAATTTTTTAAAATCCTGCTGGAAAGTGGGCCCACCAAACCCACTGGTCTGCCTATCATATTGTATGCACTCAGAAGCTAACAACATAACCAGACAATCCAGCAGTATTTCTGACCTTGAGCAATTGACACCTTCTCAGACACATAAAAAGTATATCAGCAGTACCAGTAGGCTATGAGGCAATATCATAGAAGAAATCAAATCTTACCACCAAAACAATTACCTTGAGGACCACATTTAGTGTGGTTATCAAACTCATTACCACAAGAACTACTGGTAACAGATGGTAACAAGTCCACCAGACCATCAACAGAGCAAGGTTGCAGTGTGTCAGGTCAGGTGCTTTATCCATTTCATCGACCAACGCTATCTCCAAAAGCTGCATCATATTTACTCCGCAAAACCAAACAAAATTTGGACTCCCAAAACAAAATAGAGCCACCACTCACCCCCTCCCCAAGCAAGCATAAACAGGTAGCAATGCAGAGCACTGAATACATAAAAATTAAAAATTAAAAATTATGAAAAAGGATTTGTGGAAAAATCAGAAGCCAACACAACAAAAAAGGACTCAGCCACAAATCCACAAAGATCAGGGCACAGGGCACATTTAAAAAAAAATTCACTCCCTCTCCCTCCTTCACACAAGACACACTCAATGTTAATGTTGCCATTGATTTTCATCTATTAGACATAATAGTTTTAGGCTTCTAAGCACAAGACAACAGAGCGCATAATAAGAGAGCCGTGCAGAGAGCCCCCAAATTGAGTGGTTGCTAACAAGTTAATTTTCAGAAAAGTTAAGGTGTTTCGATGGTAAAGGAGGTTTCTAACTTCAATATTTAATATTGATGAATCGACCAATAGAAATCCTTAAAACCTTTCAGTACAAAATTTTCAGAGTGCACATTCTGAATTAAACTGGCCGTAAAATGATATCCAAATACTAATATTGTAACTAAACGCAAGAACATGGAGCTAACCATTCATAAAATGAACCAACCAAAAAGTAGTCAAATCCCTTAAAACTACGAACTTTATATAATATTTCACCACAGAAACTACTAACTGCTCATATCTTCGCTGTTAACTCTAATATCTCCAAATAACATATTGCAAATTCCAACGACTAGAAAGAAATCAAGTGCATCTATTACCACAACACTTCATTAGCGTTTCAAAAGTGCAACCACTTAGATTTAGAAGCAAAAATGCTAGAAGCTACAGGCATACAGAGAAAACTAGTAACAACTTACAATCAAGTACACAATAGAGATCGAGAGCCGGAAGCGATGGCATAGGCAATCGAATAAACTGCTTGAATTTTAGAATCGGCCCACGACTGGAGCCCTCCCGTCTCCGACGACCTCAACGCAGCGTTTTGGTATCAGAGCGCAGCCTCTGGAATGAGATGGATGAGTGTGGGGTGTTTAGCCCAAAATGCTCAAATTGGGCTCATGGGGCTTTTTTATTCTTCTTCTTTTATTTTTTTCACTAGTGCATGGGGGTTATTTTGGCCCAAGCTCAACACTGGGCTAGTGGTGGAGCCCGCATAGCAGTGTTAAAAAAAGAAAAAAGAAATGGTCAATTGGATGACGAATAGAAAGTTGACACGTGACACAAATTAAAATTAAAATTTTTAATCTATGAAAAACTCATTGCTTCCATTTTATTATTTTCTAAAATCAAATTTAAATATTCATGACAGATGAGAATTAATTATTTTTTTTCAAAAAACCAAAGCAAGCCATACAAACACAAGACAGTTTATTTTTGCCACGTAAACAAAGACATTACACAATTAATTAGAAATAAAATAATTATAAGTAAATAATAAATTTTGAAATTTTAAGCCCTTACCCCTCACCACTAGAACAACAAAAGTTTTGAGAGAAGCGAATTGCCCGCAAGGTAATTTCAAGCATTGACGTGTTTGGGTTTGAGCGGGAATACATAAATTGCTTGAAAATATCCTTCAATTGACATCGAAAGAAGTGAATAGGTGGGGCAAAGGCCTGGAACTAATAAAAATTTTGACGGTAAAGTTAACGACAGAACTAGATTATAAAAAATTAAAAAGATTCAAGTATATGATTGTTAAAATTGAGGGTGTATGGGGTAAGCATGCCTTAAGGATGAGAATTTAGGATACTAAATTGAAATAAAACCTTGAATTTAAATGGACATTAGAGTCCAACATTGATGATTTACATTTTCTCAAAACAGTTTTTATAAGTATGTTGAGCTCCTTATAAATAAGGGGGATGGTACCAAAGAATGAGGGAGCCCATAAGAAGATTATGATTTTTTGTAATAAATGCAAGTGATAGTCTAATAATATTTAAAATTAAGCAGATGATTTTAACAAAAACGTAAGTAATAAGGAGATGGGGTTGGTAAATACTCTTAAGAATAAGAATGGAACTTTTTCTACCATTTGCAACAATTAATAAGATGTGTATCACACATGAATCACCAGAAGCAGAAGGCTTGAGCCTCGTGATCGGATCATATTATTCATCACAAAATTTTACCCCCAAAAAAGAAGATTCATCACAAAAAAGGAAAGGAAACAAACACTATTTTCCTAAAAAGTTATATGATTCCTATCCCTCTTGAATATTTGAGAAGCAGCAAGAACTTGCGTAATCTCCAAGAGGTGGAGATTTTTCTGCAAAAATATGAGAAATTATAAGAGAATATTTGTTTGTGGGAATTCTAATAATCTAGACCATTCTAATAGTCTAATTGTCCAAGATACGTCACTTCAATTTTTAACCTTTGACACATGTCTATTTATGTAAGTAGTTCTTAATTAAATAGATAGGTGTCAAAAGTTAAAAATTGAAGTGTCTAGATGTCGCGAAATGCGGATAAATGCACAATGTCTAAATGTAGACGCTCAGGATCCGCTAACAATATGTTCATATGAGGGCAAAAATGTCATAATTACAAACTGCTTTTGTAGCTTGTAAGTTAAGTTTGATGTACAGTCCTCAATTAGGTTTCCTCTTCGTAGTTTTAGTTTTCGTCATTAAAAAAAAAAAAATTAAAAACTCTATGTAGATCAACTGTTAAAAATCTCCTACATGAATTTCAAAAAAAAAAAAAAAAATCTCCTACATGAAAGCCCCGATCTGATTCATCACCAAATATGGGAAGAGAACTACTTTCCTAAAAAATCCTATGATTCCTGTCCCATCCCATCCAGAAGAGGAGAAGATTCCTATTTCCTAATAAATTTCGATTATACACAAGAGGAGTTTGAGTATAAGTACAAACCTTCCGAGCAAATTTTTGGATCTCAAATTTTGAAACAAACCCTTTTCTTAAACAGTACATAGAATAGAAAATCTTTCTGGCCTTTCGCTCTATTGCTCTAACAAAACGTAAGTTGAGTTTCTTGTATTATTTCTCATGAGCGAGCAGAGGAGCCCTACTTTATTTTCTCTCTCTTGTTTTTCATCTTCTTCTGGGCCGAGGATGCATCTCATATCTCTTAGTTACTTCTTGCATTGCAGGTTATTTGATTGTATCCCTTATTAAGAAGAACCTAGAGCAAGTTAATAACAAGGTTGAATAATATGTCTAAAAGGAAGGCCACTGATTTGCAGGCTACTGAATGCACACGTCAAACAGAAGGACGTAAAATTGCAATAAATTTTGGTGACCATGATGAGAAGGGAGAGAATTATTTGATTGATGATAAGGAAGATAATTATTTGATTGATGAGAAGGAAGATAATTATTTTATTGATTATACGAGAGACAATTATTTGTTTGATGAGGAGGAAGATGATGATGATGATGAAGATTATTATTTTCTTGATGATGAGAAGGTAGATAATTATTTGGGGGAGGACCGGATTAGTGAGCTGCCCGACGAAATTCTAATTGCCATTGTTTCCCTCTTGGACATTTGGGAAGGAGGAAGAACTTGCGTAATCTCCAAGAGGTGGAGATTTTTGTGGGCAAGTGTTACATGTCTGAACTTTGATAGCAAGGAGTGGGGATTTACTGAGCGTCTCCCGAAACCATGCATCTGTGGTTTGTTTAAAATCTTGCAATCGCATCAGGGTTCAACCTTAGAGAGATTGAGGATTAGTTCTTGCGATTTAGATAGCGAATGCTGTCGTTCTGATGTCGATAATTCAATCGAAAGTGTAATATTGCAGAAGAGAGTTCAAAGGCTTGAGATAGAAGATGTTCGTTTTTCTAACGACCCTTATATCTTTCCAGAGAGGCCATTCAAAACCCCTTTTGGTTTTTCCTGCATCAAGTCCCTTACACACCTCAGCTTCAACAACACAAACATACATAGTCGAATTGTTGGCCCCTTTCTATCTCACTGTCCACTTCTTGAGCACCTGTGTGTGTATACGTAGCTCCTCTGAAAAATATGTTTTGAAAGTCGTCGGTCCCTCTCTCCGGTTGAAATTTCTGCAGATAAGTGACTGCCCTAGCGTAGTTAAAATCGAGATCTTTGCTCCTAATCTGGTGTCGTTTATCTACGACGGAAAAGGTCCATACAGAACAGGAATTGTTATGAAGCATGCACCCTCGCTTGTCATGCTATCTCTTGCAGAACCTGGTGATTGTATATCCAAAGCTTTTCGGTCGGTTTCAAGTTGTTTTTCTCGTCTGCAAACTCTCAGCCTGCGTATTGATCTCGGACAAGTCAGTATACATATGAAATCATTCAAGATTTATTATCAGTCAGTATACATTCTTGTCTTACAATTGGTTTCTTTTTGCAGAAGAGTATTATGCTCCCAGAGTCTCCAGAATTATCTAGTCTCAAAAAGCTATCTTTGACGATACATATGGGACACAATTCGAAAATCCTCATGGATTTGACTTCCTTGATAGAGCGATCTCCTTTCTTGCATAGATTGAAATTACGGGTAAAATTACTTCCACATTTATCTTACAAGTTTGTAACATTTTATCATTTATAAGCAAGCAAGCTATACATTGTACGCTCAAACGTTTGGTGGGTGAAATTGGACTAGACTATTTCAAAGAATGAGCAAGAGTCCTAGCCCTTGTTTGGTGTGCCGAGACAATAGACTTATTAAATTGGACAAAAGTCCAATATATTGACTGTGTCTTACAAATCCCACCTAGAGAGGTAAGACTTGTAAAACTTGCTTGAACTCAACTTCAATCCAATCCAATCCAAGCTCGGCCACCAAATCATAACAAATGATGGAAAACTTGTATACATTTGTTTAATTCATTAGCTTTTTACAATGAGGAATCTTGATATGTTCTTCTCATATATACGCCTGTTTGCAGTTAAAGTGGAGAGGCTTGTTTACGGATTATACGAGTAGTATGCAGAAGATTAACAAATGTCCTCATCCATGCCTTAAGGTTGTGAAAATTTCAGGCTTCATTGGGTCTCATATCGATACTAAGTTTGCCATGTACTTAATTGAGAACTCTCTTGTGCTCGAGAAGCTCATCTTTGATCTTCAAAAGGTAAATGATACACTGTACTGTCATACTTCCCTTTTTCTTACATTTCTCAAAGATATAGAAAACTACATGTTTTTTTTAATGCATATATATTATACATTCACGTATTATACACACGTTCTTTTCAAATATTTTACAATAATATACGTATTATTCACCTATTTTATCTGTATTTTTCAAGTATTATTGGTCGGACTGTATGTTTTTAAGAAATTTGTCGAATAATACAAGAAAACATGCTTTGCAGAATTATGATTTTCTGAGTTTTAAACCCAACCTAAGTAGAAAGACAACCAAGAAGAAAATAGAGGCAACAAGAAAGCATGCTTTGCAGATTGGGAAGCAACTTCCACCAGGAGCCGAGTTAATTGTCATATAAGTTTATTTGTTTCCATTTACAACTATTCCATTTATTTATTTGTTTGAATTTTTTGATTATCAAATTGTACTTATACGGTTTCCTTGGATTCCAAGCATACGATATATTCGTATAATTTCATAAAATATGTTAGAAAATTTACATCGTTATCAATCATCACCATCCAGGTTTCTATGTCAAAACTTATCGAAAGCTTTTGCCTACTTGGGTCAAGAGCTGAGCTCGGATAGGGCTGCTCTTTTTAGGCCCATAGATATATCTATAGGCTTGTTCGGTTTTTATGGGTTAATTTGCCCACTTTTTATCTAGAATTTCAAGTCTTTTTATTTTGATTGTTTATAAAAAGCGATATTTTAAGTTATTCTAAATTAATTTAATTTAATGAGAGGGTTGAACTTAGTGAAGGGGACGAGTTCCCATTGAAATAGGATTCACACAAGTTATTAGGGGCATCTCGAAAACGTCCAGGTCAAAATATGGTTTTTAAATTAAGTTCTGAATTAGTGGATGCTGCCAACGGGAGTGGCGATGCCATACACAAAAAGAAAGAGACTCGTAGAATGGCATAGGCAAATAAAGCTTTTGCACATTTACGTTAATCCATGAACAAGATCTATATAGACACATAGACCCATGGATCTATACATCTCGATCAGAAAAGAATCCATAAAATAAAAAATAAAAAGGTCCTTTGTCCTGCCCAATTACCCTAACCCATATATATAATTTCATATCGATTTTAATTATAAAAATTATATGTAACTTGGTTTATTAGCTCGTATAAATATATGTAATTGTGTGCATTATTAAGAGTCATCATCAGAATGGGTCCATCCCCCTAATTTTCCTTTTTTTCATATGGCTTGAAATTCAATCCAACATTTTCTGATTTTCCAAGCAAAGTCGAGAGTCTTGATTTCGAAGTTTTCCTCTTCATGCTTTAACAAAAGTTGCCCATATGTCCTGTTTTGCTCTTGATGATGAAACTAAAAGATATGCTTATCAGTCGAAGAAATGAGATACAAATTTAAATTGTGCAACTTAGTAATTATGTGGTACCGGGTTACCAAAAGGTCCGAATCCGAAACAAGAAAATGTTACCATTGATTAGCGGAGCACATTACTCCTTCCTTCACCGAAGGTTGCTGCAAATTGCATTGAATCCAACCCATCATTGGCATGTGCGGTAAACGCGTAGAATATTGGAAAGTGCTTTTAAATACAACTAGCAAAGTCAAGTAGTATTATTGCTACAACGTATAGTTCCATTCAGTGGGAATGCAGGAATTGCTACTCATGGAGTTATAGCGTAAACTACTCAATAATTTTTTAAGATAAAAAAAATATATTGAAAATGAAACGATAGTATTTTCATTCATAATTAATGTCAAAAACAATATTACAAGTTACAATTGTCCACGACGAGGTTTCATATTTTAAAAACGTAGTATTATAGCTTCATTTTCAATACGGCAGCTAGCACTCTTGGCGGCGGTGGCAGGGGAGGAGATGGTGGTGGAGGTTTTGGGGAGATTGGAGTTAGGGTTGTTGTCGAGGAGAAATATGAAAATTGGGATTTTGGAGGTCAAATTTCGGATCTGGGTTGTTTAGAAGCTGCAGCTCCCTTTTCTTTTTCTATTTTTTTCAATTCCTAACCCAAAATGACGTCATTTTGCGAAGCAGTTTTTATTTTTATTTTTAATATATTTAAAAACAAAAAACAAAAAAACCCTAGTTGGCCCACCTGAAGCTTCTTCTTCTCCGTGGGGTCGCTTCCATGGCTGCCAAGGGCAAAAATCATATCCTACAACTAAAATCCAATTCTGCCATGGGGTCGTCTGATCCTATTGACCCCATGGTGGATCTGTCACTGGTTCCATTGTATCGATAAAATCTCAAAATGGGATTTATAATGTTGATACTGTCTCATTATTTTGACAGCAAACGCTCTTAAATGGTCTCGATATGATATAAATTATACTATATGAGAATTTTGTTATAGTAATAGTGATATTTGGGAGTTAACAAGGTCTAACTAAGTGAAAGTCTTGATTTATAAATCAATGGTCTTAAATTCAAATATCCACGACATTGTGATGTTGTGTATGAGAAAATCTACCTCCCTATTCCTAACTTGACCAAACACAGAGTAAAATTTTGGAGTTTTTATGTTTTTTTATTTTGGGTAATATTATACTCAACATCTGGCCTGCATTTTAAAAAACCATGACCTTTTCATGGGCATTTTGTAATTTCACCCTAATAATATGAACCGCGTCCGACATTTAATTTTACAAGACTACCCTCTCTCCTCTACCTGCCATAAGTCTTTTATTTGAGAGCTTCGCATCATCAACCAACTATCGTCCCGGGACCCGCTTGTCCTTTTAATAAATCAGAGGGGTAAATTTGGAACATGCGTTGCGTATTTAAGCAAGCCCATCACACTCGTCTTCTTCATACTCGCATTTCTCTCGTTCTTCGAACATACAGTTGAAAAGGAAGACAAGCAAAGGTACCTCATTAGCTTAGCTCCAACCTTCTCTTAGTTGGGTTGTTTTGGTCAGTTTTGAAATCTCCACACCTTGTTTTTCTAGGGTCAGGCAAGGAAAATTTTCTGTATCAACTCTGTAAAGACGCCGGAGGAGCTATTTCTGGTAATTCCAAACCACTTATCGATTGTTTCTTTGAATTGGTACATTTTCTTTGAATATACTAAATGGATTTTGTTAATGGCGCTTATAATTCTTCAGATCTAGTGTCATTTTCCTTTGTTTAGTAGTTAAGCTTGAAACTTTTGATTTCATACAATCATTCGTATATGCGTGGATATGATTTGCACATTGGATTTTATATATGGATCCGTTTTATTGATAAATTCTCATATTGAAAATGTAAATTGAGCTACTTGCTCATGGATCTGCTCCAATTCCATAAGTATGGATTCGAGTTCTGTTGCAATTCCGGGTTGTGCTCTTTCTGATTCTAGATCTACCAGAATTTTTGTGGATCTAATTTTGTTGTTTATAATCAAGCCCTTGTATTTGTTTAAGCAATTTTTGTTTGGATAGTGGGAACAAAGCAATGAAGAAAAGTAGGATTTTTGAAATTTTTTAGTCTAAAGGTCTAGATCTGGGAACCGGGTTTGAAATAGAACAATGGCTATATGAGATGATATAGTTGATAGGGGTATATTCTGGATGAGCCATTTTCGTAAATTGTAAGATCAAACACACTTGATGTCCTTGAATTGTTCTTTACTGCAGCATGAGACTTTTGTTCAGTGGTTGAATATCAAACTCAATTTCTATATGTGGATCGTTTCCATTTTGTTTTGTTTTGTTTTGTCTTTTTGCTCCACTGACATGTATGTGCTTAACTATGGGCAGGTTCTAGAGTGAAACAAAAATGGTGAAGATCTGTTGCATTGGTGCTGGATATGTTGGGGGCCCTACAATGGCGGTGATTGCACTCAAGTGTCCATCGGTTCAAGTTGCTGTTGTTGATATCGCTCAAAAAAGGATTGAGGCTTGGAACAGTGACAAGCTTCCCATCTATGAACCTGGCCTTGATGATGTGGTGAAGCAATGCCGAGGCAAGAACCTCTTCTTCAGCACTGAAGTGGAGAAACATGTTGCTGAAGCTGATATAGTGTTTGTCTCTGTAAACACCCCTACCAAAACTACGGGTCTTGGAGCAGGCAAAGCTGCAGATCTGACATATTGGGAGAGTGCTGCTCGCATGATTGCTGATGTGTCAAAATCTAGCAAAATTGTTGTTGAGAAATCTACAGTCCCAGTCAAAACAGCTGAAGCAATAGAGAAAATTTTGACCCACAATAGCAAGGGAATCAAATTCCAAATCCTCTCAAACCCAGAGTTCCTTGCAGAAGGAACTGCAATCCAAGATCTTTTCAACCCAGACAGGGTCCTTATTGGTGGAAGGGAGACCCCTGAAGGCCAAAATGCCATCAAAGCATTGAAGGATGTTTATGCTCATTGGGTGCCTGAAGACCGAATCCTAACCACCAATCTCTGGTCTGCAGAGCTCTCCAAGCTTGCGGCCAATGCATTCTTGGCCCAGAGAATATCGTCTGTCAACGCCATGTCTGCTCTTTGTGAGGCTACTGGGGCCAATGTTATAGAGGTGTCATATGCTGTTGGTAAGGACACTAGGATTGGACCCAAATTTCTTAACGCTAGCGTTGGTTTTGGTGGGTCTTGCTTCCAGAAGGATATCCTGAATCTGGTTTACATCTGCGAATGCAATGGCCTTCCAGAGGTGGCTGAGTACTGGAAACAGGTCATTAAGATCAATGATTATCAGAAGAACCGTTTTGTGAACCGTGTTGTTGCGTCCATGTTTAACACAGTGGCAAAGAAGAAGATCGCCATCCTGGGCTTTGCCTTCAAGAAAGATACTGGTGACACAAGGGAGACCCCAGCTATTGATGTGTGCAAGGGGTTGTTGGGTGACAAGGCTGAACTGAGCATATATGACCCGCAAGTTACCGAGGACCAGATTCACAAGGACCTTGCATTGAGCAAATTTGACTGGGACCATCCTCTTCACCTCCAGCCGATGAGTGCCTCCTCCAGTACTGAGAAGCAAGTTACGGTGGTCGGGGATGCCTACGAGGCAGCAAAGGGGGCTCATGGTCTTTGCATTATGACCGAATGGGATGAGTTTAAGACTCTTGATTACAAGAAGATATTCGATAACATGCAGAAACCAGCCTTTGTATTTGATGGTAGGAATGTTGTTAATGCAGATCAGCTGCGGGAGATTGGGTTTATTGTGTTCTCAATTGGTAAGCCCCTGGATGCATGGCTCAAGGACATGCCTGCTGTGGCATAAAAAAATTGACGAGGAGTTCAAGTGGCTTGAGGCAGTCAGTTTGGTTCTTTGCTATTTTTTTCATGGGTTTTTCTTCTTTCTTGCCACCACATACATAGTGGTCCGGTTTCTGGTATAATTTTTGTTGAACTTAGAGGCTCTTGTTTTGCCTGGCATAAATTTGAAGTCATATATTGTTATATTTCAATTTATTAGAAAACGTGATATCATATTTGTTTGGTTCAATCCGCCATCATAAATTAGAATTGTGAAATTCTTGGAACCATTTGTTTCATGTTCCAATAATATTCTTTGACATGAAAGTTCCCTGTTCAAAAGACAAGACAAACACTTGGACTAGACATGTTTGGTTAGAGATGCAATACGATTAGAACATGCTACATCAATAGAGTGTCAATCTGGTTGTAATACAATTAAAACGATAATGTTTTATGATACTTTACCACTTTTGATGCAAGCGATATTAAAAAAAAGGAAATTGATATTAAAACAGGAGAAAATACTCTTAACCACTAAGTTACACGCCCCTCGCGACACTTTACCACTTCATAGTTGTAATGTGCTATTGGATCATTAAAGTGGTTGTACTTGTATTCAATTTTAAAAATGTCTTATTCTATAGTCTTCTTCTGCTTCCGCCAACCTCCAGCAAGTGAATATAGCCATTGGCTGAGGCCAAATTTCAACCCGCCATTAAATACGTCATATCGTTTTTTATCACTTTGAATAAGAACGATGTGTCGTTGGCAACAATCTGTGCACTGGACGTGGCGAAAAGCTAGTGGCTGCCAAAATTCTTACACTGACGATTTTATGACATTTATCTGACAGAATCTTTCTCGTGCTCATCCGTACAGAATCAGAGGGGCATCCAACGTAATATGAACTAGATTCTTACCTTTTTAGTAATTCAGGTCACCCAAAAGGTTTCTATCCTCGGACTCGGACCACCCAACAAAGCCATAAATGGCTATAAAACCGCTAGCGCCAAAACTTTACTCCATCCCCGATCTTTATCACTGCGATTCAGATTCCTTCATATTTCTATCTTCAATCTTCAATTCAAGATTGTATTCGTTCAATTCGCTCATTTATCTACCTATTGATCCCGATTTCATGTCTCGCCGTGTCCCCAATCCAATTCTAGGGTTAGGGTTTTGAAATTTCAGAAAACTTCTCGATCTGAAAAGGTTTTGCCCGATCTGTGAATAAATTGTTTGCCTTTTAGTACTTAACTGTCCGATTCTATCTGGGGTCATTCAAAATTTTCCCGATTTATCTGAAAATTGAAGAAATGTTTTGATCTTATGAAATTTCCAATTTTTTAAATTCTTTTTACCTGTATAAATTGGGGATACACAGTTTACTGCTTGCCCCTGTTTTTCAATCGCTTGTAAATTAGTATAAAAAAAAATACAACCATAGGGGTCTAGTATTTTTGGGTTGAGAAGCTGGTTTTTGGGTGCTTTTGTCAATCGCTTGGACGCCAATATTTTCAGGTAAGGACCAGCTCCTTTAGCTCAGTAATATAATTGACTTTTTAAAGTTGTATCTTTTTTTTAATAAGACAAAATTAAGCTGGCTTTGTAGCACAAGTACTACTATAAGGTACTATTGTTTGACTTCATTTTATGCCTGTTTGGGATTATATCTTTTAGTCTCCGCACATACGTTGCTATATATAAGTTGGTATGAGTAAGGAAAAATTGGTTTTTGCAAAAGATGATGCAAGGTATCTGCCATTTCTTTTCCCTTAGAACTTAACATCATATCTTCTGTTTCGTAGGAATGTAGGTCACAATCACATATAAAAGAGGAAAAAGGAAAGAAATGAAAATTGCCTCTTTCCTTTAAATACCTATATTTGTATGTGGGGAATTGTTACTAGAATCATAGCATCTATTTTTTGATTAAGTAGAATCAGCTTTAGAGACACTGAATTTTTTACTGAAGCTGTTTTGATGCTCGTTGTGCAGTAGGTGGTATTCCATGCATTATGCTGACTGTCTGTCTTACCTGATATGATTGTTTGTTTAAGTTTAGTGTCTGTATTTATTGGAAAGGTATTAAGCCTATTATGTTTTGATTGTTATATAGTGATATTGTATTTAGTTTTGATTAAGATGAGTCATCTAGAAGGATTAGTTTCCTGAAGATTGTTATTCTCTTCTCGTATCTAAGATCTTTATTTGCTGCTTTCTTCTCTGAATGGGAGGTTTATATGACTGAGTCCCATATTGCGTATTCAATGCACCACTTCAAATGTGGCTTCACTTTGCAGGGCAAAATGATTAACAAACGGCCTTTTGGTGGTGAGGATTCTTATGAGGTTGCTTGTAAGCACCCAAGACAATTGGAACATTCTAATGAGGATATTTTTCCTTTTAATGGTGCTCCCCAGAAATTTCAAATTTCAGGTATCAAATAATTGGATGGTCATTAATAAGTTGGTTCTCAAGTTGTGCATATAATGATTTGTCTGGATCTTTGGAAGATGTAAAGGCATAACCTGCACCATGGATCTGGAAATGTTATTTAGAGCTGTGTATGTTAATCTGGACCAATTAGTTAATCTGACCTTCTAAAAAAAATAATGGCATCAGTTTTTTCTTTTACCCTGATGTAAGTTAGTATGATGTTTATTGCATGGTTGTTTATAAACTTAGTATAATATGTAGAATTCAGTTTGATCTTATAGCTGATTTAATTACAATATGAAGATGGTGAAGGTGATGGTGATGGGAGTTTTAGTAAATGTCCAGATGAAGGAAGGTTTGCAAGTGACTTGGGAACTTCAGTCTCAAATGAGACCTACAAAGAACTTGAAACTGGTGCTTCTGGAAGCTTTGCCCGGTTTTTGTGGTCCAACAGCAGCATTATTGAAGCTAATGTAAGACCTGAGGCAGCATCTCATCTATCATTATTCCCAGAATTTTTTGCACCTGTAAACCAATGGAGGGCTTTACTTCATTCTGACGAGATCTGCTCATCTCCTGTTGATTATCCTCCTCGAAAGCTAGTTTCTATTGGTGCTCAGCATCAAGCTCATGTTCCAGTATGGGGCTTTGAGGGTTCACACGCTTCAGTTCATCTAGAGAAATTGTATCCTCAACATGAGCCTTCATGTCCTTCCAGTCAGGATCTTGTTCTTGATGTTAACGAGGAGAAGCTGATGGGTACCCGTGTCATTTCTATGCCTGACCTTGAAGCATCTGCAGCAAACTATTTCTGTGAAGATGTGGGAGCTAGAAGCAACTGTAAGTGTGGTGATGCAGGTTCTGTTAGATGTGTGAGACAACATGTCATGGAAACAAGAGAGAAACTAAAAGAAGACCTTGGAGAGCACCTATTTGAAGAGTTGGGATTTTATGAAATGGGAGAAGAGGTTGCAGATAAATGGACTAAAGAGGAAGAGCATGCCTTCCATGATGTTGTCCTCTCTAACCCTGTATCATTGGGTAAGAACTTCTGGCACCACCTCTCCGTGGCTTTTCCTTTCCGAACGCATAAAGACCTTGTCAGCTATTATTTTAATGTTTTCATGCTCCGTAAACGGACTGAGCAGAATAGGTTTGACCCTCTAAACATTGACAGTGACGATGATGAGTGGCAAAAAATTGAGCTTGGAACCGTAGAGGATGATGAGGACTCTGGGGTGGAATCTCCTGTCAATCTAGATGCTCCTGCCTATAATCAGGAAGAACACTTAGAGGGTTGCTATGAACACATTGAGGATGCATATGACATAGATGGTTGTAGAGATGGCAATGATGTGGTTGATTGCGTTGGAATGAAGGACAAGGATGGGGGTGATATAGATGATGGCTCAGGAGCTCATGTTGGGAGTTCCCCTGGTGGTTCTGGTGGTACCGAAACTCAGATTTTGGATAAGATTGCTAGCAATAACAGAGAGGATTATGATATTCAAGATGATTCTTGCACATCATATGAGTATCAGCGAGACAGTTGAATTCTTTTGTCCTCTTATTGACAGAAATGGTTCAAGAGACTGCGGTGTAGAATGACGTGATCCTTTTCTGAGTAAGTACAATAAGCATCGTGACTGACCTATGAGCTTTTGAATGATAAATTTCAAGAAGAAGCCCAATAAGGATGATAAGGTGGCACGGGGCAAGATGAACTACACTAGGATTACTAATTCCCAGTACTGTTGTTCCATTGAAGCCAGCTTTGGGCTGTATGAACTCTTTAAATCCTCCTTTCAGGATTTGGGGAACCCTGAAGAAGGATTTTCAAATGGACGATAGATTATTAACCCTTCAAAGATGCAAGTAGTTTTCTTTCAATTTTTTCATTTCTTGGAAGAAGGCAGCTACGGATGTAGATTTTTAGCGCATGATGGATGCCCATGGGTTAGTCAAAGGGACAGCCATGGTCGATGGACTTTTTCTTCAGTGAACAGGGTGCAATTTCTTTACCTGTGAGCCAGAAATTCTGTTTTTTTCTTGTGAGGATGAGATGTGAAAATGTGAAGGTTTTCATTGGAAGTGAATCAAATCAACAGTTTGTTACCAAAAATTTCACTGTATCTTTTTGGTAGTGTTGCATTTGTCTAAGGTTCATTCAAATTGTTTCTTTACCCTCAAGTTTTATATTTTGTTTTTGTTTTCATAGACTAAATGCTGAGCATTCTACTATGTACTCATCAAAACATGGGACTGTGGGTGGTTGAAAACAAGGAAATGGCTGTGGGTGAAAACAAGGGAAGGCCAGGCATTTCCTTGCAAATTATGTCATAGCCAAGCATCAACTTGTGCCCTTTGTTGTATGCTAACTTCTTTCTGGTTGTTAATGCTTCTATTCATCATTTTTTAAGGGTTGAATGTGGATTACCATTGGAATTATGAGCCCACAGCATCAATATTTTATTTAGAACATATAAAATTATCCTTTTTCCCCAGTATTCTCTCCCCTTATTTTGTAAGACCCTTTTCAATCCTTATACTTTGCTTTTATTTGTTTTCAACATAAAGCATTTACATGGTAAATTAAGTACTCTTTTTCTAGAAAGCTTCTTATATAACTTGCATCAATCCCAAACCCAAACGGTTGCTGGATGGTGACCAATCATTAATATTCTGACCTGCTAACATAGTTAAGGGTGATGAAAACCGGACTAAAAATGCAAACCACCTGCAGAGTTAAAATAACATTCTTAGCATCTATTCTATGGTAATATAAATTAGTTCTGGCAGATCAAACAAGAGACGAAACTTCTTAAACAATTTGGACCTTAATTTTAACATCATGACCACAGAAATACAAACAAACTCATACAATTAAATAATTACATAAGTTATTTTTTTTTCCTGGTGTACTTATTTTGCAACAAATATGAAATTAACTCAAGAAATTACTAGTCATATGCATTTTTGACATTTAGAGGCCAAAGCCAGGATTGTCAAAATTGGTTAAATGTCAAACTCATGTTGACGTGGCTGAATGATTAACTTATGCATGTTTTTTGTACTTAATTAAAAGATAAAATTGTGGATTTAACCCAGTGAAAAGGGATCTTGACTTGCAGATTAAAGATTTCAGGTTTGAACTCTCACAGCATCTTAGTTGTGTGCGTGTGTGATAAACCCTCCTCCTCAGTAGTTTAGACTATTGCTTACTAAAAATATATATATAATTAAACATCCAGCTAGGTACACCTGCCCAATTTACAGTGCACTTGAGTGTACTTTTATCATGCTAAGCTCTTCTCTAAGTTCGGAGACAACTAAAGAAAAACAGTTGGCCGCTGGAGCCTCCTCGAACCTGTCCCCTGTGTGGGGTTTTGCTTAGGAGCAGGACAAACCAAAACAAAAAGAACGTATGGTTCGCATTTGAATTCAGACAATTCAATATGCTCTGCTCATACCTAATGGCAGATAGCTCAGTTCCATTTTTAGTTCATAAATTACTCATTTTTCCTGCAACAGTAATGGGAAATGTGAATTTGACATGAAAGTAGAATGCCTACCCAATTCTTGAGTCTTGAGCCCCAAGCAACACCATAAATGACTCTGTTTTTTGGTTTGGGTATTTAGGTCACTTATCTCACTGAATTTTGAAAGGCACTCTGTAAGTTGTGCTCAATGATATTAATAAATTGTGCCAAGCAAAAAAAGAATAATTTATGTAATAAATTAGAAATCCAAATCCATCCAATTTACTATGATAAGGTCCCTGTGAAAAAAAGAAACAATCTTTCATATATTAATTAGAGAAATGCCAAAACGAGAGTTTTAGTGCTAGCGAGTTGGTGGCTTCTTGTACACAAGAAAGTGGGACAAAAGTCGGCGTCTCGGATTATAACTTTGCTTTCATGCAAGGATTTCTTTTCCTTTTTTTTCTGCTTCCAAATAAGGCTTAGGCTAAAATTTGGAGAGAGAAAATATTAGTACCAGAAAGTGATCCTCATCCTCTCTCTCATTCTCACTCACTCTTTTTTATTCTTTAGTTGTGTCATTTCTTGCCCGCTACTGGCAAAGCAGTGGTCAGTGCCTCAGTGGTCACATAACCAATGTGCTTCAGTTAGATATATTGCTTTGCTTCTTTGCTTGCTTGCATACATTTCAAGCTCCCAAGAGATCACAGAGAGAAAAAAGACCCCTTTTGCTTTGGGACCCAGATCTTGTTCTTGCACACCACTTCTGCGAAACCCAAATTGCTTCTTCTCCGATCACTTTGAGAAAGCAAGAAAGCCTCATGATTGTGGTATAATCGTTTAGTCCTTGGTGTTCTCTGATCTGGGTTTTTTGTGTTCCTCTGTTTCTTGAGCATTCTTTTGTTATTTTTTTCCTGGAATGCGGTGGAAAGATTTAAACTTTCTTGGGAAATTTGGCTTCTTCTTGGTTTTGGGATCTGGGTTTGTTTGCTTTTTTAGTTGGGTTGGGTAGTGGTAGGATGGAGCATAGATGTAAGCTCTGCAACAAGACCTTCTCGAGTGGCAAAGTCTTGGGAGGTCACATGAGGGGCCATGGAACAAAGAATTCGGCTAAAGCAGAGAAAAAGCTCAAAGTGAGCAACGTGGATTTTGAAGGTGATGACGATGAGCATGCTGGTTATGGCCTAAGAGTGAACCCCAAAAAGTCTTGGAAATTTTCTGGCTCAAAGGTTCAAGCTTCTGAGAAAGAAAGCCTCTGCAAGGTCTGTGGAAAAAGGTTTGATTCAATGAAAGCTATGTTTGGTCACATGAGGCATCACTCGAGCACAGAAAGGAAGGAGACTCAGTGTTGCAAAGATTGCGGTAAAGCATTTGAGTCATTGAGAGCTCTAACTGCTCATACCAAAATTCACTCAAAAAGGCTCAGGGCCTCTGATGGATCGCAGAGCATTTCAAGCGAGAAGCTTTTTGTGGATTTCCAATACAGCACTGAGACCATGGGGCTGATCCGGAGGAAAAGATCGAAAAGATTAAGGTACAAGATCACTCCAAGTTCTTATTTTTCTGGTATGAATGAATCTAAATATGCTACTGAATTTGGCCAAGAAGTAGTAGGTGGGGCTATTTGCTTGATGATCATCTCCAGAGGGGGAAGCAATTGGGGTCGAATTAGTTCAGTAACTGAGTCTTCAGATAACAATTCGTTGTCTTTGGAGGTTCAATCGCCAGTCCAAAAGAATCGGATCATGGGAAATAGGGGTGGCATTTCTGGTTGTAATGATACTGGGAACAAAATATTTGAATTTGGTGAAAATGATTCTGGGTTTGCAAGTGATGAGGAAAAGACTGGAAAATTGGAAGTTTCTATTGACAGGTTTTACAGGGGTGCAGAGTGCAAAAGGCCTAAACTAGATGAGGATTCTGCATTTGTGGGGTATGATGCAGAGATTGAGAAGGAAAGTCATGGAGAGATGGAAGCCATCCCCACTGAAGTCACTGAAGTGGAAATGGATGGGGATATTATAGAGGAAGAAGAGCTGGATGTAACTAAATTGGGCTCCATAAAGTCTGGTATAAAGGCTTGTGATTCTGGCAATCACATGTTATATGGTACTGAATCTGAAATCTTTGCTGATTCTCGGAAGAAAAGAGAACACAAGTGCAGGACTTGCAAGAAGCTTTTCCGCTCTCATCAGGCACTTGGAGGCCACCAAAGAGTTCATAAAGCAACTAACAACTGTTCTGGAGAGAAGATTGAGGACTGTGAAGATAAAATTCAGATTAACAAGCTTTCTAAGATTGAGTACAGTTCCAAGCTTGCCAAGCTTGAATGTACTGATAATTCAGAGGAGCAGGAGATGGAAAGAGTAACTGTGACTGGTTTTGAAAGTAAGGTTCACAGGTGCACCATCTGCTTAAAGGTGTTTGCAACAGGCCAAGCTTTGGGTGGTCACAAGAGAGTTCATTTTGGTAAAGATTCTGAGACAGGAACAGAACACACCAGAGCACTGAAGCAGCAGATTTCTGAAATCTGCGATGCCTTTGAACTTAGTCAACCAGTCAAACTTGAGGAAGAGAATGGTGATGTTGAATTCAAGTCCTGGTGGCTTGGAAATGAACATAAACTCGAGCTACTGGTGGGTCTGATGCCCAACTAAGAAGTGATTCCATCCATGGCTCTGTGGAAGTTTTTAGTGGCATTTGTTAGGATAGAGAGGGATAAGAGAGGCAAAAGCTTCTCTCTGCTGCTTATGGCTTATAGGTGGCAACCCAGAAATTTTTTGTCCCTAATTCTGGGATTTTTCCTTTTTCATGTAGAAATACATTCGTATAGTTCCAAACTTGTAGCTCAATGATACATATTTGGAACATTCTTGCCTTAATATGAATTTTTTCGTCCTTTTGAACTGTATACTTGCAAAATATCAGTATACAGAAACAGATTAGCAAAACTCTTACGTTTTCTTTTCCTGTTCTTTGCTTTCTGCCAGTGATTTATTTAGCCACTCTGTAGATGCTGCAAAGATGATCAAAAATGAAGCCCGAAGTGTGAAAAATGGTGGTTGAACATATAGGATGATACATACGTATTGTTTACTTATTTACCTCTATGTATCAATCTTCTTTTGCAAGTAAGCTACAGATACCTTTGCCTTGACCCAAAAGAAACCAGTCCCAACTTTAAATTTGTTCTTGTTGTAAAATTTCGAAGTGCATTTAAACTGAAAATCTAGTTAAATCTTACATGCTAGATGGCCTAACTGGGCAAGCCTTATGAACTCTTGGCTTTAATTAACAGTAACATGTTTTTCCTAGTTTTGGGTTGCAAATTTGGATGCAAGATACGGGCTTAGCTCTTTATTGATGTTTTTGTTAGGTGGCTCACGGGGGAATTGAATATCATGCGAGTGTAGATGGGATCACTTGAATCTGCGCTCTGGCCATGTGCTTGGAATGCCTTTGAAAACATTTTATATATATATATATATATATACAGAAATTCTCTTATGCGGACATCCGGACATTATTATCGTGCAGACGCCGTGTATTTTGTACTACCCCTCTCTGTTTTCCTGCCTGTTTACAATAGGATCCGCACGATAATAACGTGCGGACATCCGGATAAGAG